CTCTGCTTCTTTTTAAAGAAAAATATTATGTAACAAATCATAAATCTCTGAATCTATGTAAGCTTACTAGAGATAAAACTCCGCATCCTCTGATCAATATAATTATTGGAAGAATAATTTCTAATGAAAGAAAGAAACAAATGAAAATACTTTCTTGTTTTGAAACAAAGGAAAAACGAAGTAATGATTTTCTATAAAAGTTTGGTGATATATACTAATCGGTCAATAAACTTTGATCTCCAGTAGTCTTGTTCAAATTAATAATATTAATACTAATATAATATTGTGTTATAGTGATGCCAAATATTGAAGAACGGAAAGGAATATTAAAATTCTAAGTCTCGATCTAAAGTACCCCGTTTTTCTAGTAGGGAATTTCCTCCAAAAAGAAAAAATAATTAGATCAAACGGCGGTTGTTCTTGAACGAACAGCCACCTCAAAAAATTTCCAAAACGACTCCCCACCCGCGATTTCCTGTAATAACGCGTCAGCGAAAAAAACTTTTAGACGAATACCGTCAATCGATTAACAAAGCTAAGCTCCTGCAAAGACGATTATTTAAAACTTCAGACTCAGAGTCAGACGGCGAGTGGGAAGACGTTGATCCTACCTCCTTGTCGACCCTCAAAAGAATACCAAATTTGCAAGATCTCAGAGATATAAATAACACCAGAAACAAGAGCAAAAAGAGTAGCCAGACTCCACGTAGATCAAAAAAGTCCCCTGTAAAACAAACCCCTGCAAAAGGCAAACCATCAATATCAACCATGGCTACTACCCACGTAAAATTAAAAGATGCAATCGCTACGATACCTAAGTTCGATCGTGCGACTATGTCTCTTGAAGACTTTTTAGACTCGATAGAATACGCGAAAGAAATAATTGACAGTGCTGAGGAGGCCTTGCTAGTCAAGCTCGTACGCACGAAAATAGGGGAAGAAGCACGAAAAGGTCTTAAAGACATTGACATTAAAACCGTTGCAGAATTGAAGAAGCAGCTTCGCGGACTATACTCGTCTGGTTTAACCGTGAGTGCTTTACAAGGGTTGCTCTCGCCATTGGTGCTACAATTCCCAAAGATTTTGAAGAAAATGTTAAGGGTAGCCAGGAAGAATGTTTCAGAAAAGGATTGTTAGATAATATCTCTGTTCGGATGAAATCTACCGGGAGCCTGACCGATTTAATTAAAGAAGCTATTACAATTGAAAAAGATCTTGAAGTAAAATCTATGATGAGGCGCAAATTAGAAAAGCGTTGCGGCAATTGTGGCCGGACTAATCATGCAACTGAGCAGTGCAGGGTAAAGAGAGTTAACACCGTAGTAACAACAACTAATAATACTCACTCCAACGCCCATGGAAATACGTCTAAAAAAATTTGCACCTATTGTAAAAAACCCGGACATTTGGTCGATAAATGCTTTAAGTATGTGTATGATCAAGTACAGAAAGCAAAGGGTTCTTCGAAGCCCCCGGCGGACTCTAATGCTCAATCACCTTGTGGTAAATGCGGGAAGTCAAACCATACGACCGAACGTTGTTTAAATCACCTCGTGTGTAGCTATTGTCATCATAACGGACACTTAATCGAGGATTGTCGCAAAAGAAAAGTCGCATTGGCAAAAAACTCCCAAGCTCGTCCGAATCAGAACGCGCAGGAGACGAGCAACGAGACGAAGCCGCGTTCTCAGTCAACCACGTCCGAGGATCAATTGCTGAAAGAATTGATAGCCACTCTATAAATAGTCTCCCTTACATCAGATTCGTGGTCGAAAATCAGCCCAATATATTTCTAATAGACTCAGGGTCCGAAGTGAACCTAATTACAGAATCCACCATCCCCACTCAAACAACAGTACATACAAATTACCACTTTATTTTAAACGGAGTGAACTCACAGGAAGTAGAAACCCTAGGATCGGTTGGATTAAAAATTAACAATGATTTGACACAATTTCTTGTAGTTGGCAATAACTTTCCGATAAATTTTAACGGACTATTCGGCGCAGAATTTTTACTTAGTAACAAAGCAAAAATTGATTTTGGTAAACAACAATTGACCTTGAATAATTTAAATATTAAATTACATTTTGAAGATACTCCACTTAACAAGCCGAGCAAAACTGCAATTACAAATTTTCAAATCACCGGTCTTAGTAAATTCACGCCTTATTTACGCATTAATATATTCAAAATTGACTCATTATTTTTACTGGATACAGGTGCACAAATCAGTCTAATAAATATAAACTTACTTCCTTTGGGTGTCACTATCGTTAATAAGGGAAACATAACTATCGAAGGAATAGAAAAGCGTCCAAAAATGACCCTAGGTAAAACCACCCTTAATATACATGGGGTTAAGGTTCTCTTTTATGTTATTGATGACACATTTCACATACCTGGCAACGGCATCCTAGGTGTAAATTTTTTCCATTTGAGCAAAGCCATTGTAGATTTTAAAACCCTTCGTATACATATAAATGATGTGATTTCCTCTATACAGATTTTCGAAAGAAAAGATACCCTCTCTATAAACAACGATAATATTTCCCTAAAACCCGTAGAAATAGAATACGAACTTTATGACGACCCCGACGACTTCGACGCTCTATCCCCTTGTGATCACATTCCCGAAGGATACGTTTTCTCGATTCAAAAGAATGATTTAAAAGACCTTATATCCACTAAAAATTTAAAAGAGACAGTAAAGGATTATGTTCATGGCTTAATTGATCGCTATAAAGATATTTTTCACTTGCCCAACGAGACCTTACCAGGAACTGATTGTATACAACATAGGATAATAACAATAGACGATGACCCAATAAATGTTAAACAATATAAATATCCCCACGCCCTAAAAGACGAGGTAAACAAACAAGTACAGGAAATGCTAGACAATGACATAATAGAAACTTCAGAATCTCCTTACAACAATCCCCTCTGGATTGTTGAGAAGAAACCTGATTCCGAGGGAAACAAGCGTTGGAGGATAGTATTAGATTTCCGCGCCCTTAATGATAAAACCATCAGTGACGCCTATCCCTTACCGAATATAACCGAAATATTCGATCAGGTCGGTAGCGCAAAGTATTACTCAGTCTTAGACCTAGCATGGGGCTTTTGGCAAATCAAGCTTGACCCCCGCGATGCTCCAAAATGCGCATTTAGCACCCCTTTTGGACACTACCAGTTCAAACGGATGCCTTTTGGGCTAAAAAATGCACCTGCTACATTTCAACGACTAATGGATACAGTACTAAAAGGGTTACAAGGGAACATACTATTCGTCTATTTAGATGATATTGTTTTGTACGCCAACTCTATTGAAGAACATGAACAGAAATTCAATCAGCTTGCCAATAGGTTAAGAAACGCCAACCTTAAACTACAGCCGAGTAAGTGCAATTTTATGTTGCCTAGTGTAAGCTATTTAGGGCACATACTTTGCGAAGATGGACTTAAATTAGACCCTAAGAAAATAGAAGCAGTAACACGTTTCCCACGCCCGAAAACTGTAAAGAATGTGAGACAGTTTATTGGCCTCGCTGGCTACTACAGACGCTTTATTGAGAATTTCGCTGACATAGCCAAACCTCTTTTCAAATTACTACAAAAGAAAACACCCTTTGAATGGAATGAAAAAGCTCAAGAATCCTTTGATAAATTAAAAACACTTTTAACCACCACACCCGTATTAGCTTTTCCCGAGTTAGACGAACCTTATAACATAACGACGGATGCCTCAGGCTATGCTATTGGAGGAGTATTATCACAGGGTGAAGTAGGGAAAGACAGACCTATAGCATTCACATCACGTGCCCTCCGTGGACCCGAGCTTAATTATGAAGTCTATGAAAAAGAGGCTCTTGCTATTATCCACAGCGTAGAACAGTTCCATTCCTATATTTACAATAGAAAAATTACCATATATACAGACCATCAACCTTTAGTGAGGTTTAAAACAGCCGATCTCAATACTCGAGTCCAAAAGTGGCGTTTTAAATTATCCGTTTACGACTATTCTGTTGTGTATAAAAAAGGAAAGACGAACGTAAATGCCGACAGCCTATCACGTAATGTACCCGAATCACCGACAGACGCCACTGTATGTACAGTTACGCGTTCAAAAGCAAATCATCCAGACGAACAAAATGATGAAGCTTCATGTACAGAGCCATCAACCCAAGAACAAACTATACCTAAATCCAATCAGAAAAAGAAAGGTAGACCCCCCAAACATTTACAAAAGCCAAAGCCATTTATTCCCCCGCGAGACAGTACAAAACGACAAACGAAACAAACACAGAAATTTGATCCTTCCATCTACCAAAAACAGCCGGAGCCTGATCCAAAATCCTTTCCTATACCACCATCCGACTCAGAAAATTCAGTAGAATCCGATCAAGAAAGCGAGAGCGAAAATGAACAACAGAATGAACCCATCGATGCAACATCTGCTCAGCCATCAGAGAAAAGTAATTCCACAACTAATAATAAAATAGTCTATTCAAAAGGACTAATGCATTGTATGGACGGCAACATCGCTTACTTCATTGACGATCAAGGACAGCCCGTTGATGAAGGAGCCAGAAAGTTACACGAATTCAACAAACTACCGAAGTTCTCTAATATATCAATTGGTGAAGTATCATTTGAAGTAAACAAACGAGTAAATCATTTTGCATTATGTATTAAAGAAGAAAAGGACATATCTCTTAGTGCTTGTAAAGGAAACATAAAAAATACACTTTTTACACTTGAAGCCATCCTCAAAAAGGAGGAAGCGTCATGAGCAGCCAACAACGATGAGTACGGAAAACCAACATCCTATACATTAAAATCATGCACCGACTCATTTATTTAATTTATTTTATTTACTAATTTATAATTTTTTTTCCTTCTTCTCACCACTAATTTTTTTCTTCTCTCCTTCTTCTTCTCTTTTTTTTGTATTTCTTTGTCACTTATTTAATTAAATTTTTTATTGTATGCATTTATAATTTATTTGATATATTATTTTGTGTGTGAAATTTATACTTTACATTTGTTCAACCGTTTGTATTTTTATTGTATAATTCCATAATTTTGTTTGTAACACATAACTTGCCTAAGTATCACTATATTTTAAGATATTAACTCATAGATTATTTTTATTTAATTTTAATTAATGAAACTTAATGAAACCACAATCCAATACTATTTGTACTAGGAGGTAAATCAAATTTATCTGTATCTACGAAAAGAAATGTAAATTGCCAGTGAGCCATCCCTCAATACTAAATCGATGACGTATATTCCCATCCTTCAAGAGAAAATCAACTTATAAACCAAAAAACTTTCACATTCTTCTACAAATATTTATGCGAATGCGTTACAATTCTTTCATATACGTATAACGAAATCACTATTAAATATCAACAACTAAGAATACCAAGTTCATTAATGTTTTACAATAACCCAGAGCTACGGCTCGTAGTTTCTTTTCATCATCACCTACTCACCGTTTAACAATGGGGGTGTGATATCACCTCTAAAAACGTGATATATTTAACATAATCAAAAACCAAGAGCCCCGGAAAATAGGCAGCCCTATCTCTGCCGAAGTTGGCCGGGAAATATATTTTTGAATCCCGGACCTGTCAAATTTGTAAACAAACCACATGGCCCCAGTGCAACCGTCGAAGAATCAATGTTCTCACGGGCATTGATTCTGTTTTTACTATGAACAACATTTTCTACATTATTGTTTACGTATAAGTAACCGCAATAATCACACCCTTATAAATAATTAATTTATATATATAATCAAAAACCCAGATCCTTTTCCCTACGTTCAATTCGTCAGAAACGCAGTAAAGATGAGATGGCTCGCTGGCGATCGAAAATTATTCCTTATGTATTACAACAATATTTTTTTTTTAGTTAATATTTATTATTTATTATTTATTATGAACATCAACCTTTTTTTTGCTAATAAATAGAAATAAAAATACATTAGAAATTAAATCGAACGATCTAGAAGATCAGAGTTCGAGTAACAACGTATGTGTCGATAGACGAGCTGCAGGCTGCTCGCGTCACAAAGGCAGAGACAAAGACGCAAGTCTCACAGAAACGGAGTTCCCATAATTTTTAGCCGCCGAAGCCGTTACAAACAAAAAGCTACACGTCGAAGATCTGTAACTGATTCTCTCTATCAAAAAAATTTTCAATCACTCTCGTTCGCGACTCCGACCAGTGCGGGTCTCTCTCTCTTTTCTTAGTGTCCTCTGTGTCTCTGCCTCTGTGCCACGACGCCTCCAGCCGTCTACACCTCAACAATGTAAGTCATAAATTCTAATATATCCTTATCTATTTAAAAATGCTTGTTCTAACTTTATTTGTATTTTTTCCCCTTTTCTAAATAATTTAATTTCATAAAACAATATAACTCCTAATGACATCACTGCCCCGAGGCGATCAATGGGTAACCATTTCGCCTTGAGGAAAGTGACCCTTTCTCCCTTCGAACAATCACGATATTTTAAAACCACATAAACACACGGAAATATACCCTGTGCTATAAGACGTCTCGTCTTGGCACTAAAAAATTTTTATACAAGACCACAGTAACCGTGAGGTTACAAAAGTCCCGTCTCCCGACGTGACACTAATAATTTTTCCATCTTTAATACTAAATTTTAGAATTTTAGCTATTAAAAGCTGTAAACAATAGATTCTCTCAAGTAAGATTGATTATTTTAGGATTTTTTAAAACTATTTTTTGTAATTCATCAAATCTATATTTTAAAATGAAATTATTCAGAGATATATACTTCATTTACCATGTAACTTATTTTTCTTGCACTAGGTAGTTTGCTACCCGACTTACTGGTCCTTGGAGAATCTATACCATTGCTATAATCAGGCTGTAATAATCTCGAAAAAGGTGTAAAAGCCATTCCTAAGTTTTCAGGATTATTACAAGACCCATCAATCGTTCGGTATTCACCATTTAAATTTTCACATCTTGAAATTTCATTCATACAAATATTATCTGAAATCCATTCGTTTTTTATGAAATTTCCGAAACTCGATGGTTTGCCAGAAGAATTACGCTCATTTTCAATTTCTTTTGTTGCCGCAATTTCAGCTATGCCAACCATGGCTATCTCATCAGACAATTCATTAGTATTAACGGCATATTGATGTAGAAAACTAGGAGAATGCGGAGGTAAAGTATCACTTTGAGCATCGGCAAGCTGTCGCGCACGGATAGCCTCTTTTCCAGCGATTATAGCTTTTTGTAGTTCATTTTCATCCAAATTATTATTGATAAAAGTTTGAGCTGTTTTCGATGTCAGCTGTGGTGAATCTTTTTTTGAAAGTAATACATTTTGAGGCACGTGCATCGTTTCTACTTCGTTAGAAATAGAATCTTCTGCAACACTTGATGGAAGAATGTTATTAACTGGAGTGCTATTAGTTACCATGTCATCTTTATTTGAATCAATGTCATTTACAGAACGTAAAGGATTATAAATAGTATAACTGATTGTTATGACAAGCGCCATAATAAATGTTGCTCTGAAAAAAATAAAATAAACACATTTTTTTATTGAAAATTGTTTCATTAATAAAAATCATGATGTAATGAATTATTAAATATATAAAATTTTCAGAAACGTCGTGTATAATTGATAAGCATTAATAGTTAGTACGTATAATAATTAATTTTTGAAAATTTTATTAATCAAAGTTTTGCAATTGGAAACCCGCTGAAAAATTTTACGAAATTTTTGATTTTATTTGCAGAAAATTTTTAGTTTGTAGAATACTAGATCTTTAGGGTGTTACACTCATCATAGCTCTCTTATTTCAATCAAAAGTAAGAATATGCGTTATCAAAGATGTTTAAAATTAAGTTGAGAATAATTAGGCCTTATTATATGTTATTATATATTATACAGGGTGTTACAAAAGTATGGAAACCTCCTAAAAGCGGGCTAAATATGCGGAGAAAAAAAACCTAAAACTTCATATAAGACGTATTTTTTAATGGGGAATCCAATGGTGACCTTGAATTTGACCTTGAACATAACCTTAAAGCTACAGCGACCCAATAATAAATTTTTCAAATGGAAACCCCTATTTTTTATTGTAAATTTGAAAAAAGCGGAAAATTTTACGTCAAAACTTGTATTTCGTTACTTTTTTTCAAGGACATTTTAAGGGCGCTACAGGCTCAAATAAAACCCCGATTTAACCTAAAATTAAGCTTAAGTAAGAACTTTATTTTCTAACTGTAGAGAGTCGAAGATTTGCTTTGAGAGCGAATGGAGCTCAAGTGTGCGAGTTGAGCGCGACATCCTCGGGGATGTCTACGTCGGATTGAAGATATCCTACGTCGCCCAAGTTAAGAGAGCGAGTACCGGGACGAGTCGACCCGAGTGCGAGAGAGATAACCAATGGATCCAATGGCTGAACAGACCGTAAGGACGACCAAGGGTGGATCTGGACCAGGAGAAGATCTCGACATCGTGTGGTGAGTCGTACGGGCCAATGCGCCTATCAGGGCTACGATCGTCACGTCTGCCGTCGACCGGGTATTCGGGTACTCTCTGAGGCCGTGTATAATGTTTATTGCATAAGAATAAACCTGATAGTTGTTATTGTTAATATTGAATGTTTGTTTCTTAGTGTGAGTGAGTGTGAATCCCTGTATTCCCCTTTCTTCAACCCTCTAGGAATATACACTGGAAAAGCCTCTACGCGCTAAGACAGACCTGCAGATCCAAGGGACACCCGCACGGGCGTGTAAAGCAAGGTTTAAGGGTTACACTGTTGATATCAATTTAACAACAATATAGTAAAAGTTTACATTAGTTAATGCTGAGCGAAGCGAAGTCTCTTATCCTTTCAGCTCGGTACTTTTTAACCTATTTTGTGTCAACGGTTCCTGGAAAACGGCGTTACGAAATGGTCTGAAATTTACTAGGGTGGTTGAGGACGGTCAGCTGAAGGTCTGATTGTCACATTCCGTCGACCTGGTGCACCAGGTCACCGATCTGGCCCCTGCGAAATCTTCTTCGGGAATTTTCTTTATTTTTGGGTTTTACCGACTGGGTAACAAGCGTCAAACCACATTCCGTCGACCTGGTGCACCAGGTCATCGATCTGGCCCCTGTAAGGACTTCTTCGAGAACATTCATTGTTATTAGGTTGTACTGACTGGGTAAAAAGCGTCAAAGCACATTCCATCGACCTGGTGCACCGGGTCACCGATCTGGCCCCTGTGAAGACTTCTTCGAGAACATTCGTTATTATTAGGTTGTACTGAATGGGTGAAAAGCGTAAAACCACATTCCGTCGACCTGGTGCACCAGGTCACCAATCTGGCCCCTGTGCAGGCTTCTTCGGTACAAAATTTCCGCCGAATTTTATGATATATTTTTCTATTTATTAGATGTTATTGGTATGTGTATGAGTGTGTTTGGATGCGTGACAGTGTGTTTGGCGTATGTGTTTCTAGGGTCGTTGAGGGTGGTCAGCTGAAGGTCTGGTTACCAAAATCAGTCGACCTGGTGCACGAGGACACCGAACTGGCCAATGTAAAACCATGTTCTAGAATTTTCGTTATTTTCTGATGAAAGTGACTGGTTAAAAGTTGTAGAATCAAATTCTGGGCTCATGTGAAAACTTCTTCGAGAATATTCGTAATTTTCGGATCGTACTGACTGACAAGCCGAATAGTATCATACAGGTACAAACCAATGAGCCAAAGTGAATAAACAGTGGTTAGTTGACCTGGTGCAGCGGGATACCGAAGAGAGCTCGACGACTTCATATTCGGGTATTTTTATGTCAAACAGTTACGAATCAATGAGATCAAGTGGGTAGATCGTGATTCGTAGACCTGGTGCACCAAGTTAGCGAAGAGAGCTCGACGACATCATCTCCGGGTATTTTGATGTCAGACGGGTACGAATCACTAATAATCTTTTGTTTTCGTTTTTTTAGTAACATTAGGGATATCTTTAAACTGTGATATCTTTAATTGTGGCCCAAATTTTTTAAATAAAATCGAAAAAGTTGCTATTATTTATGTAAAAAGGGTCATTTAAGTGTAAATAATGAAAGTTGTTGTAAATAATTCAGCTCGGTAGATTTTGACATATTTTGTGACAGCGGTTTCTGGAAAACGACTTTACCGAATGTCTAAAATTTTTAAGGGTTGTTGAGGGTGGTCAGCCGAAGGTCTGATTGCTACATTCCGTCGACCTGGTGCACCAGGTCGCCGATCTGGCCCCCGTGAAAACTTCTTCGAGAATTTTCGTTATTATTAGGTTGTGCTGAATGTGTAAAAAGTGTCAAACCACATTCCGTCGACTTGGTGCAGCAGGTCGCTGATCTGGCCCACGTGAAACCTTCATCGAGAATTTTCGTTATTTTCGGATCGTAGTGACTGATTGTAAAGTGTAGAACCGGATTCTGTCGACCTGGTGCACCAGGTCACCGATCTGGCCCCTGTAAAAACTTCTTCGAGAATTTTCGTTATTTTTAGGTTGTACTGACTGGTTAAAATGATACTAAATTATTTAATTTTTACAATACCTGTACAAAACCATAATTTAATCATGTTCCAACGCTTATTTATATTTGCAGAACAAAAATATTATATTTTTCAACGGGTGCAGTAATGGCTTTTTAAAAAAATGAGCGATGATGGCACGAGCTGAAAGAGAATTTTCAGCTCATCCAATTTTTAAATCATTGAAAAAGCTAATACATCTAACACATTTAACCTTTAGAGGGCTGGGATTTCAGAGGTCATATCAACATCCAAAACATCTAACATATCTGAAAGAGGGTGAATGTGCTTGGCCACCATCCAATTTTCGGCCAATCAGAGATATCATTCAAATAAATAGAAATATATGCAAAATTTTGAAGCAATAAAATATTTTTTCAATTCTACAACTGTTATTGTTTCAGAGAAAATTCTTAGTACCCTTGAAAATTATTGAATCAACGTGCTGGCATAGCCGACACTCGTATCTTTTTCCGCACACTCGTGCCCAAAAACGCTTTTCGCGCACTGAAAAATGTGCGAAAATAGTTATTTATGTAACAAGTGCCCAAAAAGCTGGGCACGTGTTGCATACAAAATTTTATGCAATAGTAGGCGAAAAATACGTTCATTAAAATAAAGCGTTTTACCGCACACCCGTGTCCAAAATGTGTCATTTTACCGCACACAAGTATCCAAAAACGCTTTTGGCGCACTAAAAAATGTGCGAAAAAAGACATTTTTCGTCATACTATTGCATAAATAACTATTATGCAATTGTAAAGCGAAAAATCCCCTTTTGGGCACACTTTTTAGTGCACAAAAAGCATTTTTGGACACTGTTAAGCGGTAAAATTTCTGATATTTTGTGAGATATCATGCTCGTTATTTGTGCACTTTTTGCATAGTATTTCATAAAATGTCGTATGCAGCAAGTGCCAAGCTTTTTCCCCAGAAATTGCGTGAAACAGTTCTCTTCTCGTGCAAGCGTAACCGGCACTCGTACTCACAAAATGGTTCCACCCCACTTTCCCGACTCCGCTTTCACGACAACCATTTTCACGACAAGTATTTTTCCCGACAATCGAAAATCCCGAATCCAATTTCACGAAAACCATTTTCCCGAATAAAATTTCCCGACAACCATTTTCACAAGTATTTAAAATGTTGTACATATGATGATGGCCCTAGTTTATGTTCCCGTAGACGATGTGTTGCCAACATTTAAAGCTTTTAAAAAAGAAGCTCCAAGTGCACTGAAGACTGTCTTCAATTACTTACCCGAATACTATGTTATTGGCATTCCAGCAGTTCAAGGAAGACGTCCTAAGAAAGCTACACCTCCACGTTCTCCAATACAGTTATGGAATCAGTATGATGCTGTGCTAGCAGTGACTCATAAAACAAATAACGTTAGTGAAGGATGGCACAATCGCTTTGGGTTAATTGTCGGCAAACACCATCCAGACTTGTACAGTGCACTGAGGGAGTTCCAAAAATAACAGGCCTATGTGGAGATATGCATCGCAGAGTTAGGATTAGGACGCTCTATAAAAAGAGCACCAAAACTAAAATGGATTGCTCAGCATGAATTTATCTTCGACAGAGAAATATCTTCGTTCATTGGCTCACACTATAAATCTCTGATAGATACTTTCATTTTTTAAGTTAATAAATTTGTTATTACATATTCATTGTCATTATTCTTTACGATCGACGTCGGAAAGAATACTTGTCGTGAAAATGGTTGTCGTGAAAGCGGAGTCGGGAAAGTGGGAGGTAACACACAAAAAAACCCATTCGTATAACTTCATCGTTTGCATATTGTTCATAAGAATATCAATAATATAATATAATATTAATTAATGATAATTAATATATTATTAATTATATTGTTAATTATATTATTAATTAATAATAATTAACGGAAATAATCCTGCGTATGCATCTGAATGAAAAATCAAGGCAACAGTCCTGTCAGCAACTAGGTTGTAATATTGAATTTAAATTTTATATT